AATTTTTCCAGCCACAATGCGATCACCCAGTGATTTGATCGCTAACTCTTGGACTATATATATACACTATACAGCCCTCCGAAGTGGAAAACCTAAATAGGTAATGTGTTTCTTTCTCGAGTAGATATATCTACACTAACATCGATGCATTTGGTACACAGAAGTAGAAGTAAAAAAAGTATTATGATATACAGGGTGTAATTTAATTGATGGCTGAAAATGTAGGATACACGGTTCCTTAGCTCATTCAAAGAAGAAAAGTTCATATGAACATATGCCCTAAACCTCTTAACTATCGAGCAATAGGGTGTGAAAATTTCATTTCCTCTTTCATTGAAGAAACTTTCACAATGTGAAAAACTGTTATGTTTATGCCAAAATTAGATCGCAACGTGATCGATCGAATGTCATTATTTAAAATAAAACAAATACAAAATAGGACACTAGCCTACCCAAAATAATTTCGTTATATATGTCACAAATACATTGAATGATTCTCATTTTTTTACTCGAAAAGGCAGGTTTGTGGATCGGGAACAATTCAGCAGGTCGAATTGTTGCAAAATGGATGAGGATTTCACGTCACTGGTAGAAATATTAAAAAATCTCCTGAATCATCAAAAAATGAATATTGATGCTTAGTAAGTACACGTCAAATTTCATGGAAACATTTCGAACAGTACCTATTGAATTATGATATAAAAACGAAATTTTTTCTTCCTATATTTGCAATTAAATTACAGGATATTTTAATCTGTACATATACTGAGGTATCCTGAAATTACATAAAAAGATTTCAACTGCTGATTCTAGGGAAAAAATAATAAAAAAATTTCATTAGTAACATCCCTAGGAAATTGATAATAGACGAGATGATTTTGTGACAATCGAGAGCTCATCCGTTGGTAACAGTTCGAAGTCGAAGACTGAGGGTTGTTACAGGGCCTACTCTAACCATAAGCCTTGATCCATAAGCAGCGAGCTTGAGAAATTTCTCATAAAATTATGAGGCATTTGGCAATGTCCGAGGGATATTCAGCGGAAAATAATGTAAACTTGTCAAAGTCGATCGTGTTGTCATAGTGATTGATAATTGCACTAAATGCAGTTATTAACGTTTATTTTCATGTAAACATGGGTCCAGAAATGACCATATAACGGAGAGACCGAGATTAGGGATTTGTGATTATTTTCTAAACCCTTTGTGATTAAATAACCAAATTTTGTACATGTACCTCATATACAGTATGATGCAAATGTATGGATTAAATTCATTTCAAAACAAGACGACTTCCGAAAAAATCCAAAAATTGACTTCAGAACTTTATTAATTGATTTATTTTTTTAAATAGACGACCCTTCGTTGTTCAATTCTCAGTAGCAGACCTCTGCAAGATTCAGTTAATCAAATAATAAGCCATTTTAATTTTAATAATTTTCTTATGCAAAATGTTGACTGTTGAATAGACGATCAGTAGACCTTTCAAACGAGGTGTACCATGACCCCTGTTTTCATTTGAAAAAATCGTTCATTACGTCATTACTCCAACACCGGTGACGTAACATCTCTCATATGGATATCATGAGATGAGGCTTCGAAAATGAAACCTCACGTGTTCTTGGAATTTTTTAAAATGTCGCCCATTTCTGAAATAATGAATTTATTCCATACATATAAGACGGGTTAGATTTGTCAGTTTGGCCAGGAAATTGAAAAAATTCAACTGTTTTACTTAAAAATGGTACTTTTTCTTGTTTAGTTTCGAAGCACTCTCCGTTTTTGAAAAAAGTCGCTTTCAAAATTCAGCTGCATAGTAACAATAGGAGTTTTTCGTCAATATTATCTTGGATCTCATTTCGGAAATACTGTGCTGACAAATTTTATTAAATTAAAACTTTGGTGAGAGCTAAACTACAATGTTTGCCCATATAAAGAAGGAATTCCTTAGCTGAACTATTTTGACTTTTTTCAATATAATATAGACTTGCACTCTACCCTATTTCTTAATTTTTCCTCATTGTTCTGGTGGGTCTTGAGAGATCTTCTGATTCCGATTCCCTAATAAATACGTCACTGATTTCAAGATTTGAAAATATATTATCTATAGGAGGTATTTCGAAATCTCCTGTTTACTCCCATCATAAGAACAGAAATGATGATGCTTCAAGGTAGTACAAAAAGTAACTTGGCGTTTATTCAACACCAAGGTCAACTGATTTTTGTAGGAAAGAATGCTAGATCAAGATGCAGGTTAATAGCTTCACCTTGAGGCAATCTGCATGGACTCTTGTTTATCCGCATTGTAGCAGGTTCGTCTTGAGCCTCCAGGCGATCACAATATATAATCATGGCACGATCGACAGTATTCCGCAGTGTTGCCAAATAATACAGTTTTTGATGTAGCAATCGAAAACATCATAGAACCGCCTGGGGATCAGTTAAAAAAATCTGGTTACAGCAGTGTATAGCCTATTATAAATATATGTACCTATATAAAATTCTTCAAATAATTTGAGAAACGTAAAGAATTTACAAACAATACTCCACGGGACAGGAACCCTATTTGATTATTGATTATTACCACTCTATATTCCCCTGTGACGAAACTACGTTTTATTTGCTAACATTCTTTTGAACGGGGCGTTTTTCATTTGCGCAGCCTAATAATCGTCATGTGGAGAAAACAAATCACCAAACCTTCGTTTCAGGACAAATTCAGATATTCTGTTTCTTCGACAAAATACGAATAATTTCGACAAAGACGTTATATGTAATATGAAGTAAATTTCAATAAAAAACTCAATATCATAAAACAGATTGCAGTCAACAACGGATACAACGTTAATTTGATAGACAGTATTCTTCCTAAAAACTTTCAGAATAAAACTATTCAAGAAGTTTATCCTACCATCACGAATAATTATCAAAATTATAGAACTTTAACCTATTTGGAATCATCAACTGAAAAATTAGCTTCATTTCGATATAGCATATAGAATAAAAAACTCGTTGGGAAGGTTAATCAAAAATAATGAAGGCAAAACTTCTAAATTCGAAAAATCAGTGGTATACAAACTCAACTATGAATCTTGTCCTAAGGTATATTGCGGTCAGACAGGTCGTACGTTTATTAATGAACACATTAATAATGAATATAAGATGAATTTTTTGGAAAGGAAAACAAATTCAACATACGCCAACCATATATTAGAAGAAAACCATAGTTTTGATGGTAATTTCGAAATTCTACACGTAGAAAATAAAGGAATGAAACTCAATCGTTTTGAATCAACAAACTCAAAAATTTTGACATTTTACTTATCGATAGACCTCAACGGTTCACCACTGTTGAATTCGTTGAATCATGCAGAAATGCATTCCAAGAAAGGTATGTACATACAATAGCTCTTGCCTACTAACTACCTAGGTTGTCACGACAATGGTTGAACAGAACCAACAGGAACATCATCAATAAAATGTTTTGTTGATTAATCATTTGAAGTGCATTTTCACCACTAGATGGCATTTCTTACCTTCCGCCTCGATTGAAAATTCATAAAATTTTCACTATCATCGAATTATTCCTCAGGTTCAATCTTTTGAGTGGTTATTGTTCTCGAGCAATATGTGATCGAATGAATCACTTCAGTTCCTCAATTGGTATATAATATACTACCCGCATGGTGAACCTTCGATTAATACCTTCTAGGGGCGAAGGGGGTAATTGTGAAAAATGCATTTTTTCTGCAGTCGACTCAAAACTCGTCCAGATTTGTTCCAGAATTACCTCTTGAAGTTGAAGGCAACACTTTCAGTGTCTAAGAGCTGAAGTTGAAGTTAGGAACTAGAAGTGAGTCAGATGACAGCTGATATGATAGCTGCTTTGACACTGATATGCTCAAGTGAGTCAAAACAGTGGTAACTTCACTTATATTTTATTAATTAGATATTAATTATTTCGATTGCAGAAAAAATAACATGTTTCAGTCGGATCAAAAGTGACTCTGTTTGACTCGCGAAATTTGCTTGCAAGGCGGAGCGATCGCGAAGCCGAGCACGCAAACAAAGTGTCACATTTGATCCTAATTGAAAAATGTCTTATTATTCTGAGTCAATATTTTTTGATGTAAAAAGTTATTGTTGGTAACGTAAGTTGACGAAGATAATCAAACGGATAATTACTCTAGTTTGTAACAGAAGTTGAAGAAATTAATAGAAAATCATCATTATTATGAGTTATTCCATGAATTCTTGAAAAATATGTCGTCCTCTATTCATAGCCAGGTTTTGAAGTAACTTCTTTATCTGTTGGGAATTTATCACACTCTGAGCCGTGACTTGGGGAAATACAAAGATATCACGATGTTTCTGATAGTTTCTCATGCACTTATATTTATGTGGACATATCAATTCAGAAACAAGTGCAATAAATGTTCTTCGGCCTTCTTTCGTCGAATTTGAATTTAATAAGAATTCAACAACAATTCATCTCCGTCTTCATCTTCCTGATGTGTATTTGCTAGAAAGAACTTTTGTAGAAATCAATGAAATTTCTTCAAAAGTCGTGTCCACTATTATACACAAGAATGAAAACAGATTCCTAAATTTATAAGCAATAGTGGACATGCTGCTGTGTGAAATTGGCTCTAGAATTAAATTCGCAGCTAGTCATAATCACGTAACCTCACTTCAAAGTTACAACATTGAATGTGTATTTCACATTCGATTAGAAGAAATAATGATTCAGCTGATGAAAATGTATTGACAAAATTTCAATTATTATTTTCCGTGAAGTTATTCAAGTCACCTGAATTTACTGTCTGTGCGATCCAACTAGATGCAGCAAAGTATCATTCACACTGATCAGAATTAACTTGGCGCCAAGTTAAAGAATAATACAGATTTTGTCTACTATCACACAGTCCACAGCTCCCCTACTCCTCCATTTCCTCTTCAAATTCTAAATAGACTAATATGTTTTTCTTTTTATATATTATAGAAATTGAAAGACTGTCAACGACTCAAGAAACCATGACTCATACACCTGAATCCCCGGAAATGCCCAAATCCTTGAACATGCTTGTCGAAGATTCCGACAACGTTTTCCGACCAACGCCAGTCCCATCACCAGCCGCAAAAACTACGAAAACCACGAATATGCCAGAAGCGAACAGCGTCCTCCCATTGGAAGAACCAAAAGGAAGAGCATTGAATTTCACAGCCGCTGACCCTCAAATTCACAGTGCCAATATTCTGACGAATTCGTCAGAGCACCATACCGATTTCGATCTGAGTGATGTTAGCATCAATGACGAAGACGATTTCGATATGGACATGGTACACACAAAAATTTTGGCACCCAAATCCATTTCGAAGAATTTAACGATGGGTAAGTAGTAAATAGGGTGAGTCCCTATGGCACACGATACACTATTTGTATACCATCTTAAAGTTGGAAAGCATCCTACAAAAAATCAGAAGAAGAGCACCGAAAGCTTCTTAGCATTTTCATCGAAATCAACAGCCATAGGCTAGGTCAATATTTCGAGGAGAGTGTCTGGTGGTTTGGCACATCCATCATGGTCCAGATACAAGTGCAGTATCGCAAATTGTACTAACAATCCATTCCTCTAGATTTTTGGATTTTCTCTCCTCGTATCTGTAAAAAATCAGATGATTTTCCACAAAATGCCACTGCGCCTGAAACTTTCCTTTAAGAAACACAAGAGAAAAATTGAATCGATAGCTAGTGACAGCTTGTTTGATCAATGAAGAAACATATCTGCTATTCTTGAAAACCAATCAATTAGTATTTGAAGTTAGGTATATTATTAGTATACAGGGTGAATCTAAAAGTGAGGTTTGGTTTTTTGATCAGGATAAATATCTCACCAAAATAAGTTGTTAGGCAAAATATTGCTCCTATGAAATATTCAAGAGAACAGAGAAGCAGGTATTCAAAAGTTTAAAGAAGAGTCCAACTTTGAAACATTTTGTCCGCATTTTCCCAGAAAAAAGCTAAACTATGTCATTACTTCAGCAAAAAAATTAATCAAAAACATCTTTTTACCATCTGAACTTATTAATTTTTGTTTTAAGCTGTGATTCATTGAATCACATTCCCTCCAATAAATCTAAGATTAATAAAATTAGATTTTGAATATAGAAAAGCCCATAATGTATATACCTCCGTTATCTTACATTTTTTACCTAAACAATTTTATACCCTGTTAAATAAAAAAGTCGCACAGATTCACCCTGTATAGTAACAATATTGAAACACATAGGTAAAAAAGCAAGAGGGTAGAAAAACTATATACCTTTTCAAGAACTTCACCACTCATTGCTGAAGTTTTGTTTCATCAGATAAGCGGGTCAAAAATTTACTCTAGTCTCCTTCCCAATTTCCACCACTAGGAAAATTATTTAGTTCAAACAGGCGAAGAACTCCTGCCCTATAATATACAGGCTTATTCAAAAGTCGATGTCGATTGTAGATATAGAAAAGACTTATTGTTGTTATTGAAATAAGTGGATATGACTTTGAGCTTTTTGTATTTATTGGAATATGACTTTTCATTTCCAAATGAATATGTGTCGAATACATTTCCTTCAAGTAACATCCAAGGTTTGTACAGCCAATATAAGTTATATAAAAAATACGATTTTTTATAATTGTGACTATAATATTGGAATTAAAACAATTTCATAGCACCATTTCTTCAGGCATCTCTTTTTGTTTTCTAAAAAAAACATGTAAACTCAGCATTAGGGAAGTTGAAGAGGGATCCACACTTCTATTGATCCAAATGATATGTTGAACAAAAGAAACTTTGAATGGAAATAGCATAATCTTGTTTGCCAGTAAATCGTTATCAATGAAAGAAGGGTATTTTCACTATTCACATTCAGAATTAAAACATAAACAAATCTCTTGGTCGCAATAAGAAATAATCAAACGATTAAAAACAGAGAACTAACGAACAATGAGTTTCCACCATAATATAAACTTCAATGCAGAAATCGCAGCCCACTAAAAGTTCTATTTTGATCCCAACAATACGTTCTTGAAATATTTTAATCGAATTCTGAATCCCAGTGCATTATCAACTGAGAGTTAACAAAAGGGCAATATGGACATATTCCGATTTAGGGATATATTTATTTCTGAAGGATACGTTGGAACAACACATTCTGATGTTCTGGTGTACATTCATGTTTACGTACACTATAATAATTGATTGTTATGCCTTTATAGAGTTATCAATTGTTATCAATGTTTTATTCTTTTCACTGTATCACCATTTCACATTGTGATATATCAATAACATGGTAAACTACAAACACTATGATTCCATTCAACTCGAACGTTCATCAATTGCTATACTTATTATGAAACGTAATTGAAAACTTGTTTCCTTACTTTATAGGAATATGCGAAAAGGGTGGATTAACATACGAAAATGGTGAAAAACTTGAAAATGGTTGTGAATCCGTGTGTACCTGCAATCACGGCAAAATGGATTGTACCGAAAGATGTTCCCAACCATTTTTCAGAACAGGAAAGAAGATTGAGGACCCCCTATGTTCTGCACATGCAACTGAAGATCCTTGCTGTTCTATTTTGGCATGTGCATCAGATACAGGTGATTCAAAAATGTTTCAGAAGACATCTTCAATTGATGACAGTGCCAAAAATATTTCCAACTTTGAATCCCTATATTTTTCTAGAGACTGAGCCACTAGAAATATGTTCATACAATAACCAGACCTACAATAGAGGAGACATCTTCAATAACGGATGCACTGAAGTTTGTACTTGTGAAATTGCTGGAAATATATCGTGTAAACCGAGGTAGGCAAAAAGTTTGTCTTTAGCGAAATCCTTTGGACTCATTGATCACACATTATTTGATTTGTTTTATTGTTGTGTCATTGATCAAAATCCATCTAGTTAGTTTCGAATGATACTTCAATAACTATACAGGGTGTCTTGGAATGAGATAGGAATATTTGAATCACACAGATTCTAGAAAAAAAATAATTAAAAAAGTAACCATGGGTCCAGAAATGGTCCCCTGGGGTGTTATAGCCATCTGAAGGAGAACCCGCGAGACAATGTTTTTTTGTAAATATTTATGATAGAATACCCAAATTTGCACAGATTCCTAACTTGTTATGTTCAATAGAAAATGTTAAAAATTTCTTGAAATTTTGATCAGAGGCCTTCGAAATTGGTGAAGCTGGGGTCACTTTTCCCACCCACTCTTTGTTTAGGCAATATTTGGCAGTTTGACCAGGAAATATGAAAGTATCATCATTGCTACTCAAATGTCATACTCCAGTTTAGTTTCGATAGCACTCACAATTTTCGATTTCGAGAGTACCTTTTCTCAATTCACGTCGCTCCACCTGACGGCAACAACTTGAACACTTTTGAGCGGTTTGTTCTGATGATGTGTCATATAAGCACAAACAAAAAATAAATGTAGAGCAATAAGAACAAAGTAAACAGGCTGATTTGACAGCTTTCAGGAACTCCGATAGGTGGCATATGCTTTTTTCTATCGCGAATAGGGTATACCTGCCATATTATTTTTCGATTGAATCTTCTTTATTGCACTCCCATATTTTATGGGATGTTAAGAGGAAGGTTATTTCCCATCAAACCATGAATTTTGGGAAAATTCGGTACCCTATCAAGAAGAGAGCTCTAAGTATTTTCATTACACAGCAGTATTTAAATATCGATTTTTCTCGAAAATCGTGAATGCTATCGAAACTAAACAAGATTATCATTTTTAAGTAAAAATCTTGAGATCTACATATTTCCATTAAACCAAAAAGTTGGGATAAAAAGTGCCTATAATCCCACATATTTCTCACGATCTTGATCAAAATTCCAGGAAATTCTCAAAATTTCTAAATCAGGCATGAAATGTAAAATTTATCCCACCCCTATATAAACGTTATTTTTTCATCGAGAAAAAAAACATTATGCGGAAGTTGAACGCTGCTATGAGGCATTTCCACAACCCTCATCAGAAGTTCCACAGGGTGATCCCTAAGAGCGCGAAAAACAACAATTTATTTTTATCAAATGGAATACCCTGTTTTCTATATTTTTTTCGAAATATGTGTATTTGTCATGACGAGCTTACATCATCTTTATATATATATATATATTATAAAATCAGTTGAAAGAAATCCATGGGAAGGTGCATGATCATATTTTAGAATACGCTCTCCTCATTGAAAATATTTTCGATAATGCAGTGTTGCCGCTTCTACAAGAAAGTAGTAGCAACATTGATATTTCAAACGGAACACCTAGTATTTTATTACATTTTTGTAGGTTCTCCGTGGAGAGCTGATTTCATCGATGTATCACACTTGGGATATATCCAAAAATATTTCAGGGATATAGGATGTTCAAAATCGAGGTTTTTCAACTTTAGGATTTTATCGTGTCGAAACTATTCATTATCGGTTAAAACGGCTCTCATGTCCATTAAATAGATACTGGGTGGTTCAAGATTCAGAATTCTGATCATCCTGTATCTGTTCCGATTAAATATCAGTCAATAGTTGAAATAGGGACATGTGAGCCACTTTGGCCGATAATGAATGGTTTCGACACAAACAAATCCTAAAGTTGAAAAATCTCAATTATGAACACCCTATATCTCTGTAATAATTTTCGATAGACCCCCAAGTGTGATGTATCGATGAAATCAGCTTTTCAAGAAGATTTTAAAAATGCTTTAAAATACATGGTATTCTATATGAAATAACAAAGTTGTTTCTATACTTTTTTAAATAAGCGGCAACACTGCATTGCTGAAAATATTTCGAAAGAAAGAGCGTATTCTAAAATATAAGCATGCATATTTCCTTGAATTGATATAGAGATAGAGTAAGCTCGTCGTGACATATACAGGGTGATATCTTATACACTTACACACTTATACACTTCTTTATCACCACTCTTTCGAACCTATAAAAACAAGTTTTGGCAGGTTAACTGGTAATCACTCGATCAGTTCGGGAATGAATTCGATAATGATGCAATATATAACTGTCAAATATATCCTCATTCATGGCTAACAAGATATATGTAGGAGGCAACACCAAATAATTGTTTTTCTGATGTGGTCGAAAAAGGGGTGATAATGAAAGTTATTATACGGTCTATATATATTCCTATCACAAAAAATCACAGACTCCAAATAAAGAACAAGGTGCTCCATTAAAAAAATTTATTTGTGCTTTGTGACGCTTTTAGGGATCACCCTGTATAACGTTTGATAAAGGCTGTGGAGAAGCCTCATTGCAGAATTCAACTTACGCATAATGTTTTTTCGATAAGAAAATAAGCTTAATAGAGGGGTGGGCATTTTTGATGAATATAACCCTCTACACTTTTTTTTATTTTATCGGAGGGTCGCGAAAATGTTCACATAAAACCATTATCTCGGGCTCTTCTTCAGATGGCTTTAACACAATACTCTGTGAAACTTTGATGGAATTCATTTGTAACTATGCATTGTGGTGGTTCATATGCAATTCTATAATTTATATGGGTATCATGGCGGATGATACTATGTTGTAGAGAAAGGTATATACAAACTCAAATGTCATAGAATAGATGAATTACGAAAACAACTGAATCTCATATTCGGTAAGACGGAAAAATGTACGTCATCAAGCCTTTCAGTATTATACGTCAATATGATGTCATGACAATATAACATCATTTGTGTGTCATATTTTGGTCAGGGAGGCCGTGGTTCAAAAATGACGAAAAATCAACATCAATACAATTTCTTCTCAGGTCACTCTGCTACCTGTGTTGTCCTGTGTCACATGGTTCATGGAATAAATATAAATTCTTGCATATATCATGCTCACCATAAATTATGTTAATATAAATAAATGTTGATATAATATGTCAGTGTTGACTATGTACTAATTTTGGCACTATCCATTTCAGATGTCTTCCAACGAAGAAAACATCCGACAGATGTGTTGAGGTCCCAGATCCCAATGACCAATGTTGTAAAAAAGTTCTCTGTGACGTAACCCTTGATGATAACGATTCCGAAAAAGATGATGTCACGCAGAAAATAAAAATTACACAAGCCAAATTCATAAATGCTACAACTATTTTATTGAAGTTTGACTCGAAACCAGAAGTCAGCGACAGCTCACTAGTCGTTGACATTAGTGATGATAAAACGAACTGGCAAAAATTCAAAGTACTACCAGGAGGCTATGTTTTAGCGAAAAAAGATGCAAGGTATCTCAAACTGGAGAACTCAGACGACATAGTCCATATACAGAACTTTGAAGGGAATCCAAAGCTAGCGGAAAAGGTTAAGGATGTCAACGGTTGTAACTACAAGGGCAAGCTTTACAACATTGGAGATGAATACAATGACGCTTGTGAGGCCCTTTGTGTATGCCAAGCTGGGGGCATGAAGTGCTTGAAACTCCAGTGCCCGACTTACTTTGGCGTAGACGTTCTGGATCCAAATTGTGTTGAGTGGGAAACCATACCTGCAGATTTCGTTCCTGCAAAGCCTAACTGTTGCCCAGAGAGCATAAAGTGCAAGAATAATGGTTCTTGCGATTACCAGGGAAAGATGTACAAGAACTGGGAGCAGCTTCCTCTCAACGTTTCTGGTTGTGAAAAGAGGTGTTACTGTGAGATGGGAAAAGTTGAATGTCAGAATACTTGTCCACCTGTTACCGCATATCCACCGGCCGATCTACAGTGTCCACCAAATCAAGCCAGGATTGGACATATACCAGAAGATGATTGCTGCAAGTACTGGGTTTGCAATCCGCCAGATACAGGTACATGGGTGTTTCAGATTCAAATGTACGTACGATACCTGTAGATAGAGGATACTTTGATGTTTTCAAATATTGATGTGTCTACCGTTATTACAACTGAGATTCAGGACGTTATCTTGCTTTTTAGAAAATCTTCATCTGGTCATAATTTTTTTAACCACTTTGTATAATTTCTTCATACTTGGTAGAAATATTCCACGTATATCCCATCAACACTGAATAAAAATCGAGATCAGAATCCTGACCTGAAAACTTCTTTTATTCCAAAGAACAACAATATATATGTGGGACAATTTTATAGATCTGTTCTGATATTCGGAAAGAGTAGGAAAGAATGAATAAATTGACCTACTTTTACAAGCACACATCTAACTTGATCGATGTTTTATCATTATATTTTTGTTCTGGTTTCCACGAAAAGGGATATCTTGTAATGTTCAGAGAACATCGTGAGAACCAAGGGATATAAGGTAGGAATTGGTGTTCTTCTTGAATTTCTGGAGGTTATATGCCTCGGGGAACACCTCCCTTGGCAGTGTGTTCCAGAGCCTCGCTGTTCGTTGGATGAACGAGTCTTTGGAAAGAGATGTTTTGCAGGTCTCCAAAGTGACCATGAAGGTGTGCGAAGCCTCAACTCAACGGGTTATTCTCGCGGGGACTGTCAAGGGAGGTACAATTGTTGATATTTCAGAAGAGCATCCATCGTCTATCTATAAAATGGAGCCAGATCGCCAACTTTGCTACGTAGGCATGTCACAATTTTGAAATTTGAAAATATAGTGAAAAATAAAATGGGTGCTCTAAAATTTATAAAATGATTGACAAGTTATTCTGTCAAATGAACAAATCTATCTATAGCTCACCGTCATATTTTTGCATTAAAATGGGATTTTGAATTACTAGTTCAATAAAAATGCCTCAAATGAAGCTGAACATTCAAAAAATAATAATAAAATTGGAGCTGTTTATTTCATGAAATAATAATAATAAAACAGCTGTCAAATTGGATTCGCTCTCGTAGGTCACTTTATTCATTTTTTCCCTATCTTTTCGATTATCACAACAGATCTAGAAAATTTTGACATACAGAGTGTTTGAAATAAAATAAGTTTTCTGTTTTTCCTCAATACGGACCTGGTTTCTGATCTCGATTCTTATTCAGTTCTGATGGGTTATATAAGTGGAATATCTCTACCAAGTATGAATAGATTATACAAAGTGGTTCAAAAATTATGACCATATGAAGATTTCGCCAAAATCGAGATAACCTGCATCCTGTATCTCCATTATAAAATGCTCTAGAGACATCAATGGGGGGCGATTTGGAACCATCTAAGTGTCCTCTATTTGCAGGTATCATATGTACATTCAAATCTGATACACCCTGTATGTTACTTCATGTGTGTATTAAGTTATGCTGTATATATTAGATATACTATTTTTCTCATACACAACACTTCTAGTTCCTTATTCGTATTGAATATTGCTTCCTTCTATTTCATTTAATTCATCATCCAGAAGAAGATACCCCACTCACTTCATATACTGGTGTTATATCGAACTGCTGTTTGAATGAAGCATCATTTTTGTTTTGCGATACTAAAAATACATGTATATTCGTTACAAGATGCCAGTTCACAGTTACCATTCAATAATTAATAGGTAATAGGTTATTCAAATAATTCGAGTGTTCTTATTATAATTGATTTATCAAATACATAATAATATTATATTCTTGTGTAAAGTCAGAAGAAAAAACCTGCTGAGTTACAGGTAAAAGTTTACATGCGAGTTCAACCACCTATTAAAATTTTCAGATTAAAAACTGAAACACCCTGTACAATCTTTCGGAAGATGAACATTTGATATTTGGATTATTCGATATTTTCATATCTTCGATTTGAGCCTGATTGATATCTGGATAAGTTATCATTTCCGGTTGAATAAGAATTGACTATTATATGACTTCTTAATTTCAAAATGCCATTTCCAACGTTGATTCATACTTCGTATTCAATATTCTGAATGCGAGAGAATACGCATATGTTTGAATTTTAACTAATCGAATTTATATCATAATGTATATAGATTAATCGAGTAGGTGTAATATTCATTTTTATAGGTTTTCCAGATGTTCTCCCTCTTCTCTCGGTCTCTATGAATAAAATCAATGAAAATAAGAGTAATATTTCAATATAAGTATGTGTAATAAAGACGAATCAGATGCTTTCCCCCAAGGTATCACTGCATTTGAAAGTTTCACTATTTCATACTCTGATTTTTGAAGTGGCATCTATATCAACTGAACAGGAAACAATAGCAAGAAAATTATGAAACCAAGATCATTTAATGAAAACACACCTCGACTCACAATTTTCTGTCATCATCTTCAACTGAAAAGTGTCAATAGAAAGAAACGAAGAGATCAATTGATTTGAATTATTCTCTATATTAATGTTGAAGACAGTATAGTAAATTTGATATATCTATATGTTCGTCTTCTTAAAACTTTTTTCAAAACGAGGTGTTACTGACTATAGATTGAACTTGTCTTTTCTTTTAGGTTTCTAATAGTGAAATCTTCAAACAAAATGACATTTTCGGATGATGCATCTGAGTTATCCTTATTATACATATATTGGAATAAGTAATACTTATACTCATATTTTTATTAATAGAAACTGGGTCAACAAAAACTTCAAAGAATATATAGAGAAATGATTTTGTAACCTTGATTTCATTAGTTTGAAATCATAATAAGCATCATTTCTTTTATTATTCTAAGGCTGATTCCAGAATAGTGACTGGACAGTCCAAACAATTCATTTCTGATGAATATTGAAAGATGCTTTATTGTTTATTATTATGAATTTTAAGTATGAAGGACATAATTTAAGAAGAAATTTCAACCAGGAGTAAATCAAGATTTAATATTCAGTATTGAATTAGAGTAGGTACGCTTTGTCCATAACTTTATCGAATTGTCAAAATTTAAAATTTGTCTCTCAAAAAAATTATGAGATACTTATATGCTTCCAGTGTAACCACACCTTCATATTTCGGAAGAGAAAGAATGATTCAAACATCTCCAAAGCATTGGGATTAATATAATTAATAAAAATATTTTTTTTAATATAATCAGTCAGCTACTTTGAAGAAAACGCACATTTTCAATAGACACCTCGTAACTATGTTATGATGGTACATACCAATATGAAGGTTTTCATCATTGAGTTTGTTATAAAAATTGAGCCAAAGGCACTGACATCAGTTCAAATACAATCAGTTCTTGTAATATAATAATGACCAATACAGTACATGAATTTTGTGAAGTAATCTTGATCATATAGGAAGCCATGAAATCATAAATCATGCATTTTACTCCAAAATACGAGGGTGGTTACACTTGAAGCAGGACAAACTGGATACAAGCCCTGTCTCAGTGAAATTGGTCCAACGCCCTAAATTGAACAATTGCGTTCAAACAATATCGAATGTATTTTCCAACAGGAGGGTGCCGCTTGCCATACGGCCAAAAAATTAAATGATTTGTTGTTAGAAAAAAATATTCCTGTTTTAAATGGACGTCGAGTATAGTCCAAATCTATCGTCAATTATTGAAATCTTGTGGCATATCATGAAAAAAAAGCTCCGATCGAATCCCACAAGAACTGTTCCAGAATTGCGCACACGTTCTCCAAGGAATTTTGAAACAGTTTTGAATCATATTATGACATTAGTTGACACTATGTTACAACCTATCGAAGCAGTAGTCATTCGAAAAAGCGATGTTACGCAGCGGTGATTTGCTGCTATTTGGTTTCGTTGATTTTTATTATTCGTCAGTTGTTTTGAATTTGTGATAAAAAATTTTTCTACTTCAAAAAATAGCATTCAAGGTTAATATTGCATAAAAAATTGTAGTTTTGATATTTGGACCAACTTCACTGAGACAGGCCTCGTATATATTTCATTAAATATTATCTGGGATACCTGGTATTCAACCTAGAAAACCTAACCCCTAATCATGGCATGAAATACTAGTAAGCTAAGCTTCTATTCGGTGTATTCAATCAGCAGATCAATCATTGCTTCTTAAATAGTTATGAAATAAAAATGAGAAATGATTTACTATGAATATATATATATATATTTATATTCAAGTGCGATAATCGAAGTATAGATTATCCTATGGGACACGACCCTGTATTGTAAAACTTGAATGAGACAATAGGTACCTTGTAACTCGTCAAGATATACAAATGCATACAAATGAGTTTGAGCGAACTATAAGTTGAACCATTCAAGGTGAAACACTCTATCCATCAATAATTTCAATTTCGTCAAGGAGTATCAAGGTACTGATTTGTGATTTATTTTTTGACACGAGGATAATGGACAAACAGGTTATAGAATCTCCCTGGGTTATTATTATACCATTGTCGTTCTGGATGACAACCTAGTTAGGTAGTTAGTAGGCAGGAGCATACCTCCTCGCACTAGGTCGCCTACTAGGTTTTCATTTAGATCGACAATGATTATACACACTGGGACAAGGAAATACTTTTATCCACTCTCAACTTTTGTACATATTTGATCTTTGAAGTGATGGGATAAGGTAGAATTCAGAATTAGTCTCGAGTGGATACTGACGAAGAATTTATTTCAGCAACGGTACCTAACGAGACGATTACTGACAAGGGACATTCTGAAAGTACGACAAAGTTACCTTATCTGGGACCATTTGCTACGAAATCGCCTTCAAAAGTCTTAGGTCCACTCTCGGTCTATGAAAATGGGGAAAAAATCAAAAATCCTAATGTGGATACACTAGGAACGGCCACGAAACCTAAAGTCTCCCCTAATGAAAATCCATTTTATCATAAACAGGCACCGTCATCCAAGAAAGATGATAAAGTATTTTCGAAAGATAAAAATAAACAACCATTCCAAGGTCCCTTCAATCCCTCGTACAAAGACAAATCCAAAAATTCGAAAGATTCATTATTTGTGACTCCACCGTCTGAAAAAGTAACGCCTGACCAAGAAGTAAATTCCGATCCCAGTAAATCTCAATTACCGTTCTTGAAACCTCATAAAAATGCAGAACACTCTGAAATTGAGGTACATGGTCACAGTAATCCCGAAGAGCTACTTCAGTTTATCAGTCAGCATCCAGAACTGAGTAACTACCCTTCAGGTTCTGTGTTTGAAGTTCATAATAACAATAATAATCTAGCTACTAATCAAAATGCAGTTCCTTCAGAACAAGGTAAACCACAGATACATCTAGTTCCTTATTTGGTTCCACAAAACTCTGCTGGAGAACATGTCAATAGCGACTTACCACCAGGTTTCACTCTGGAACAGATCCTGGGCGAATTTCACAAAAATTCCCAGCCTAGCGTACAAAATATACTTCCTCACCATCCCCAATTCAATAGGCCCCCATTCATAGGCCAACCGAGTGGACCTCTCTTACCAAATAGACCCAATACGACAACATACCCAGGTTAGTCCGAAATCCCAGAAAATCTAGCGAACCTGTTAGAGAATGAACTGTATAATAACTAGGGATCTTCATTAGAATATTCACATCATTTACACTGTGTATGCACTCATATCGCCAGTTGGGGAAGGCCACCACGCTATAGTTTGTTCTCTAGCGGGCGAATAGGAAGAATATTCCTCACATGACAAGTTGACTAATATTTTGTTTTTAGGTTTCGATGGGGGCCTGTTCCAGGGACATTTTGCACCTCCCCAGGATGATATAACAGTGCATACTTTGGAAGCCATCGATCCTCACACTGTGCGGTTAGCTTTCATGGTGCCACCAGTTATAGTCAATCTACACGGAAGGGTAGAAGTTCGTTACACAAATAATAAAGAGTGAGTATTTCTTCATTCTATCCTATACAGCGTGTCTCACTTTAAACGCCCCCCCCCCTTCTACAGTGTGACCCACTTCTAATGGAACCACCCCTGTATATCTTACGTAATTGTCGGGTAAGGATCCTGAAATTTGCTGGAGCGAGAGATATACCAAAAATGCACTCTATGACCAAGGGGGGTCATCTTCAGTGATATACACTGCTCGCCAACAGCCATGAAACTACCCCAATTTTCGGAAAATGATATAAGGAGTCAAAATAGGTTGAAAATCACTTCAGATTTGGAATCAGGACGCCCAATTCACTAACTATTCAAATTTTTCCTGGAAAATTTTCAGTTCGGAAAAATGAAATTTTGTCGCATTTTTTATGGAAGCACCCCCGTATCTCACGTAATTATTGGGGTAGGGTTCTGAAATTTGCCGATGGAAGGGAAAGTCCAAAGATAAAGTCCAATTACGTGAGATACTTTGACTCCTAATATCATTTTCCAGAAATTGGGGTAGTTTCATGGCTGTTCGCGAGCAGTGTATTTCATTGAAGATGACCACACTTGGTCATAGAGTACATTTTTGGTATATCTCTCGCTCCAGCAGATTTCAGGATCCTTACCCAACGATTACGTAAGATACAGGGGTGGTACAATTAGAAGTGGGTCACACTGTATATCTCAGTTATTGGTCGTGCGATTCCAATCAAATTTGGTGTGGTATGAATAACCATCAATATGATCAGTTTTCCAGATATGCACATTATTTTGGACAGTGCCGTGCGTTTTTATTGAACTAAAAAATTAGGCATTTTTTGACAGGAAATCTAACCTCATATCATTGTTCCTCATGCTTTCGAACCACCATATGCGAAAAATCACCTAATTCCTTATTAACAGGATTGGCTTCATTTTTGTCATTTTCAGTCTGAAATAAATAATAGTGACTTCAAATCAACTACGAAATTTGGAACGTTCTAAGGCTCCGGTAGGTGGAAAATCATGATTTGGGAGGAAAAACGAGTTATACTTTTTTATGTTGAAATCGCCGTTTCCGAGTAAATAATTATTATGTTCGAAAAAATGCTATTTGGATGTGCCTGTTTTACTGAAACCCTTCATAGACATCTTATGAAAATCCACATATGTGGGTTTGAAACCATGAAGAACAATATTATGAGGTCAGTTTTCCTGTCAAAAAATGCCTAATATGATTCAATAAAAAACTGACCCCTATTCATTTTAATAAAAATGCACGGCATGCCTTTGAAGGACTGACCATATTGATGATTATTCATACCAATAAAAATTTGGTAAAGATCGCACGTCTGATAGCTGAGATATAGAGGGGTTTGAAATAAGACAGGCTGATACAGAATTATCAAAAAGTATATTATAGCCTAACTACAATCACTTTTCAATGGTTTAATGTTTTCAAATTGGTCATCATCTTCTGAAAAAATCGAAAGTTCCAAAAACTATTTCAGCTCGACTGTATTCAACTATACAGGGTGTCCCAAAATTAGCCTGCCAAACTTCACCAGCGACTTTTACTACAAAAAATAGAAAGAAAACTTTCAATGAACATGGGTCGAAAAATATCTCCAAATGGAGCTACGGCCCCCTGAAAGGGGGCTTCTGAAGATGGTATTTCTTGAGTATTTCCGAAACCCCATGTGACAAAAAGATGCAATTTGGTACAAGAACTAAACTTTCCATGCCCAATACAGTGAGGATAAAATCATTCCAAAATTCTAATCAGGAGTGTATAATACAGGGTGGGACTGCATTAAAAATTGCTAAAAATTTTTTGTATGCATATTTTTCGACAATTTAATTTCGGATTATGAAATTCCACACCTTTTTACAGGAAAAAGGTACTCTTGTTCCGTGACGATCATATGTATTGTTATCGAGTGAAAGCAATTTAAAAATATTGTTACATCTCAGATATTTTGCATACCATTGCAATGAGGCGTAGTGGAAATGGAAAAAAATGCGCAACAAATTAAGTAGTTAAGTAGTTGTTTGGTAACAAGAAAGTACTTGATTTTTTAATAGCCACTATGATTCGAAAATTGGCAACGTTATGCATGAGATATCAGTGCATCAATATTTTCAAATCGATTTCACTCGAGAATGATACATCTGATCGATTAAATTGTCAAAAACTATCCACACGAAAAAGTTTGAGCAATATTCAATGTAGTCGTTCCACCCTGTATTATACAATCCTGAATATAACTCTGAAATGATTTTATATTCACCGCATTAGGCATGGAAAGTATATTTCTTGTGCCAAATTGCATCATTTCATCACGTGGCGTTTCGGAAATATTCAAGAAATATCGTCTTCAGGAGCCCCCTTTCAGGGGGCCGTAGCTCCATTTGGAGACATTTTTCGACTCATGTTCATTAGAACTTTTCTTCCTATTTTTGGTCGAAGAAGCCGCTGGTGAAGTATGGCAGGCTAATTTCGGGACACCCTGTATATACCAACCACTTCTACATCTTATTCGATTAATTGTAATTCTGGAAGTGTTATATTTGATTCAGATTCATGCAATGTAGTTCAGAAAGCAGCATTTGTAATGCGGAAAGTATTGTACTGTACTCTTTGCTTGTTAATCAACAATTTTCATTCTCTTATCAATTTCTGCAAATGAGAATTAAAAATACTTGTTCGTGAGTAAATCATTTTGCGATTATATTCACCTAACCTATTCTGAAAACTCAAATTTTTTTTACTCAGGAACAAGTATTTTCAATTCTCAATTGCAGAAATTTATACCAAGAGAATAATAATTGCTGATTAACAACCAGATACATTAAATGTATAAAGTACAGTAGATGTAAATATAGGGTGTTTGGTGCATCGTGTGCCAAATTGAAATGGTCGAATGAAGGGGTCATCTGCTATCCTTTAAGACTAGTTCACACCTTTCATGCCCTGTGGATTATTTTTAATCGTCTTTTTATCTGTTCATCAAAGAAAGACCCGAATTCCACATTCAAATTCAAATATTCAAAAAAGTATAAGGCGTAGACTCTGGATTTTAATTCTATTCAGATATGTATTGTGTTAGAGTACTTTTAAATACAAAACTAGTGACTTAAGTCATCTAGTTTTTCTTTTATTTACTCGCAAAGTTTCGTAGTATGTGAAACTCAAATTAAAGCTGTGACTTTACATGACTACAAAAAATAAACCAACAGCGACCAGGATCTTCCAACTCCCTCGAAAGTTCTCTAGTCTATCCTCTTGCTAATGATGTGTCACATGTCATAAATATTTTTTAACAACTTTGTAAATTCGCTAGAATTGTTAATCGAGTCACATAAGGCAAATATTCAGAATTATGATTCAAAAAATTATTTCTGTTTGAATGATACCTGAATCTTTTAAATTCGTTATCTTACTCTTATGAGGTGAAATCAGTCTCGTATCTCTATTGTTTCGTGGATTATACTTGAAATAAACAAAAAATAAAATTGCATTTTCAACATTTATTTCGCATTCATTTCATAAATCTCACAAATCCTGCTCAAATTGTTGACCTCTGTTGCGAATGCAGGCTCGACATCTGTTTCGTATTTCGATAGTTGTTGTTCGAAGTCGTATTTCCTCCCTAATGGTATCGAAGGCCGTTTCTATGCGTTGGACTAGTACAACCCTAGTTGGAACTTCTGTGGCGTATACCAGTCCTTTGGCAGGTCCCCAGACATAAAAGTCTAACGGAGTTAGGTCTGGGGAACGTGGCGGCCATACAATAGGGCCATCGCACCCAATCCACGCATGAAAGAATCGCAGAGTACGATGAAATGAACACCTTAGGTAGCACAGGCAGTGATGTCTCGACTAAAAAATTATGGGGTCGGTGGCAGTTCATGATTTGTTCAAACAGATTTACGTTGTGCAAGAAATATAAATTTTACTTGTTTCTGGAGTAACAGTTACGGGGACTTGATTGACATTTTTAGAGGATTCACAAAGTTGTTGAAAGATATTAATGGCATGTGACACATTATTGAAATAAAGAGGATGGACTAGAGAACTTTTGAGGAAGTTGGAAGATCCTGATCGCTATTGTTTTTTTTGTAGCCATGTAAAGTCACGGCTTTAATTTGAGTTTTACATATTTCGAAACTTTACGAGTGAATTAAAAAAAACTAGATGACTTATATCACTATTCTTGTATTCAAAAGTACTCTAACACAATACACATCTGAATAAAATCAAAATCCAGAGTCTACGCCTTATACTTTTTTCAAAATTTGAATTTGAATGTGGAATTTGGGTCTTTTTTTGTTAAACAGATAAAAATACGATTAAAAATATTCCACAGGGCATGAAAGGTGTTAAGTAGTCTGAAAAGGAATGCAGATGACCCCTTCATTCGACCATTTCAATTTGGCACACGATGCACCAAACACCCTGCATAACATATTCTCTTTCGGGCGCTTCAAGCGATTGAAAAAACGAAAAATAATCTCCTGCCAAGATTCGTGTTACTATAGATAGTATAGAGTTGAGGGGGAGTAGGTACTCATTACAATCTCTATACTGTACTTGAGTTCTTATATACAGGGAATTCGTTAACCTACCTTATACATCTGAATTCATAAAAATATCCTAATTTGCAGCGACAATGATTTGGATTCTTGGATGCTTCAAGTATTCGCCCCTCCGAACGATTTGATCGCCACACGATCTCTCGAATTTGATCTGCAAGATCTCAAAGCCAGTACAGAATACAAGATAAAGATCACGATAACTTTGAGAGACATCCACACGACACACTCCAGCAGAATCTATAAAATCAAAACGCCCAGAGAAATTCCCACAGCGACGTTACCACCAATCATCCCCATAGAACCAGATCTGGCTATAACAGACATCAACGCCACTTGGGTGACGGTGACCTGGAAGAAATTCGATGAAAATGAACTACAGGTAAATTTTAATACAATACAATAGGATACAATATGAAATTACAGACATCATAATATATGGTCGTCACTGACGACCTAACGTGAAATGATGTGCAATAGATCCGTGTGAAGCCTCCAACATACAAATATACAGTCAGTTCCAGTTTATTTTCGGCTAACTTCGAAAGCACATAGTGCTCGTTGAGACTTTACTGTCAAGGTTTTTAATAAATTGTTTCCACCACTAGCAATATATTTCAGTCATTATGGTTCTGTGCAACCGACATATGGACCTATTATCGCCAAGAAAGCACTATTTTCATTAATTAGCCCTGAGCATGACAGCATATGATACAAGTCGTTATTGATAAATACCTACTTGATTCGAGTGCCATTCCTGCGAACCTCTGATCAGAACAGTGCATTTGGGATAATTACAACAGAGTGTCTGTATCGACTAGTGGTTCATTAAATGACGAAAACTACAGACCCATATAGGTAATAAATAACTTTGCGAAACTTTTTGAAAAGTGCTCAAAAAGTAGACTTGTAAATTTCCTGGAAAAACATGAGATTTTATCACCATGCCACAATATGGATTCAGAGAAAATATGTCAACGGAAAACGCCGTGTTTCACTTAGTGAATAAAATACTGAATAGCGCCAATGAAGAGAAAAAGACACTGTCAATCACGATATTTTGTTACAGAGATTAGGAAATGTGGGAGTGAGAGGCAAGTCTTTGGAATTATTAGCCGATTATTTACAAGGTCGAACCCAAAGGGTCAAAATTAATGATACCTATAGCCAGCCACAGCCAGTCGCCATGGGTGTACCTCAAGGCACTGTCATGGGTCCAATTCTGTTCCTAATATATATTAACAGCATTTACAACTTGAAAAACATTGAGGGTGATATTATTTCGTTTGCTGATGACACGGCCTTGATTTTCTATGATAACACATGGGACTCTACTTATGCGAAAGCACAAAACGGATTAAACATTATATTTTCCTGGCTGAATTCTAGTCTTCTGAGTCTAAACATCGATAAAACCAAATTCTTGACATTCTCACCAACAACAAGAGACCAACCACTAGAGGAATACATTTTCATACATACCCCCAACTGCCAAAATCCTTTAATTTGCTCCTGTCCACGTATAAAAAAAAAACGGATTCCATAAAATATCTGGGTGTGATGCTTGACCAACATTTACGCTGGGACAAACATGTAGACTTTCTCGTGAAAAGACTTAGAAAACTCATTTTCAAATTCTACCAACTCAGAGACAAACTAAATAAACATTCATTACTAATGACATACGATGCATTAGCAGAATCAGATATAAGGTACTGTATTATTGTTTGGGGTGGGTTGAATAAAACACACTTACATAATCTTCAAGTAATACAAAACACCTTGCTTAAAATAGTACTGAAAAGAGACAGAAGACATCCAACTGAGAGCTTATACAAGGAGGCTAGCTTATTTAATATCAGAAAATTATACACCTTGTACCAATAAAACTTAATTTTGTACAATAAAAATTATTGTACTCATAAAAATTTATTGATTGTACTTATTTATCTTTATTTTGCCTATGAGCTGCTCTAATTTCGGGAGGTCGTGAGTAAGTGAAAGCTGTTAGCAAATCTGAATCCTTTTTTAGATAATTACTAGATAATATGAGATAAGATAAACGTAAGATAAGATGAATTAGATAAGGTAAGATAAATGAGCGCCATGTATTTTATTCCTGGTTAAAATACAAAAACCAACAATCTATGCAAGAAAAACAGTAAAACAAATTCACAAGCTTAACAATTTAATTTCATGTGAAATTGACTAAGTATTTACAAGAAAATATATATATACAAAAATGTTGCAAAGTTTTGATTGAAATGAACTTGGGACTTGTTTTCGAGCAATGAGGGACACTTACTCCCATCGAACTTCTTCCTGAAGAGTTTCCTGAATTTCTGGATGGTTCTTTTCCCTCCTGTCGGACCTTGACATCTCCTTGGTGAGTGAGTTCAACTACTCAGTTCATCGAACTACTTCCCCACCAGGTGAACTTCGGTTAACTCGTCTGTCCCAGGAGGTTTCCTTCTCTGGAAGTCTTGCAAATCCACTGGATAATGTTGCAGGAAATCTTCGTTTCTTGCTGCTGTGCTAAAAGCAATAGAGCGAACAGAATCGGTCTGATACATGATTTTAGAAGATCGTGAAACCTCAATGGAGTGTCAAAAGTGCCATCAGACTCAAAACAAGTCTTGCAAGTTCTTCAGAATTTTACAAAACTGATAATGACCAGTAAAGATAAAGTGACCATATATACAGACATTCATCAGGAAGTAATATATACAATGATATACAATATAGGGAAAGATAAGATAAAATAAGATAAGATAATATTCAACAATAAGAAGAGAATTGCAAATTTGACAAACATCCATCCTAGAGATAATGAAAGACGCAATATCACGCAAAAAGAGAAATTAGAAATTAGATAAAATCAGATACAAGATAGAATGAACGATAAAACATTTAAGATACTGAGAGTAATTCGGAGTTGTTTGAATTCAATTAATTAAGAAAAAGATATATTGACTAGCAGATAAGTGAATGGCATCAAGTTAAGTAAATAAGATATTCAAGATATTGAAGTTTATTTCTATTTGAAAAGGTAGGTAGCTTTTAATCTTGCAGATAAATCAAATTATTTAATCAAACTTATAATCTTTATGAAACACGATTTTCTAGCCAACAGAGTGGATTGACATGTTCTTCAGTGAGCAAGCAATATTTTACAACAGATATGACATATAGTCTTGATTCATAAAAGTTTGCTACTCACCTCAGAACGTAGTCAATCCTGGATTCAGCTCAGAAAATCCTGTTTCCTCAGACCACAGATATTCAGTCAGTTCCATTATCAGAATGCCTCCAATGCTCTAATATCTCCAAATTTGGTTTTCACCTCGTGAAATAATTTGACATCTGGAAGGATCCAATGGAACTGAAAGCAGAAAAAATCCGACAGAAACTAACTTCATAATAATTACAAGTTCTACAATTTCTCTTTGATCACTGAAAAATCAAAAATACACTCATGAAATACTCGTTCATGAGTTTAAAGATAAAATTGGTCAATACTAGTCCTTTCTATACTAGGATGATATTGCCAATCAAAGATAAAGGTAAAGATAAAGATAACGTGAGACCACATGGTGTCTCACCAAAGGAAAATCAATCACATGATTTTTCTAATGAAGAAAAATAATTTCCTCAGTAAATAGAAATAAACTTCCTAGGTAACAGAAAATATTAAAGTTAGAATTTATAATGAAAAGAAAACAATATTCAAAAGCAATCCATTCAGTTACCTGTAGTTTTGTTCATAACAGAAAAAGTTGCTCGACGTCTTATCTCTAGGATGGATCTTCGTCAAAAGAGAGCGATTCTTCGTTTCTATCTCCCTGCTTAAATTATTCCGCTCGGAATAAATTCGATATTACAGTAGTGTTGCCAATTTTACCAAAATTACAAGAAACTATTTCATTCAAAAAATACAATTTCAATTTACCACCTTTCTGTCGAATATACATTGAGAAACATATAAAATAATACACTGAGAGTTGGAACAAGAATTCAAGCAGACATAGATAGTGAAAATGAGCAGAAAAATGATTTAATTAGCTGAATGAAACAAGCCACAAGCACAAGGGTCAGAAACACATGAGAAGCGACAACCATGTGCCGTGCATGAGAGATCATGTGGTATACTTACCTGTCGAATATCAGCTAATAAACCAATCAGCGAGCTCTCACGAAAAACAGTATACGAGGTAAATAAAAAGTATCACCGAAAAGGAACGAAAATTCACAAGTGTGAGATTTTTCGTTACAACCTATAACTGTATACTATATATGGACGATGACCTCGCCTCTTACATATCTAAGACACATACATGACACCCGAGCCAGATCCGAGAGAACAATTTGTGTTCTTTTTTGTGAAAATGTATATACCCAAAGGTTTGTTACTTTCTTTGGACCAAAACTTGTCAATCAAGTTCCCATTGAACTACGAAATATGAAAAGCTTTAAAAAACGCAACAAAACAATCAGATCCTTCGTCGATCACAACTTTGATTCCCTAAAACAAACACTCGAATCTATCTACTGAACCATGTCCAAGTAATTTATTAATATCTTATTTAAAGCTGTCTCCCTTTTGCCTGAGTGTCTTGTCCGATCCTCCTGTGAGTTGATCATTGATTTTTGTTGATTCTCAATTCATATTTTTTACTGAAATGAATGAATAGTTTCCTTCATCTTATTTTTTTTTTTTCTATTTACCTTCATGGTTGTGTCCAGATCTGTGAAAATACGCAACACAAGCTCTGCTTAGGCGTCTCCCAAGAACTGAACACCACCACTTATTTACTTATTTAGTTATTAATAATTTCTTTCGCAATTTGATGTAATAAGATACTATTTATTCACGATATGTAACATTAACAATATAAAAGAACATGAATGTATGTATCTGAATTGAATTGAATAAATTGATTGATTGATACCTTGGTAGTAAAAACACACTTTACGCCACGAAAAAGTATAAATAGTGGTAGGTTTTATAGCTAGTGGTGAAAAATAGTTATATAATCATAGGTCCGGAAACGCTTAGTTTCCGGTATACATGGTGTTGAAGTTAAAATGAACACATCTCTGAGTGTGATTGAATCAGCCTTGTGTAGTCCAGTGGCTTCACGGGAAACCTTGCAGTTCGTATCTTCATGACAAAAAGTACACGCCACTACTTTTTTCGATGTTATATTAGTATCCGTATTATTATTTTGTATGTGAAACATTTGGATCATATTATATTGAAACATAGTATTATACTGCATAAGCAGATGATTTCACATTGATCATTTCCGATTCAGATACGAAAAAAGTAATGACATAATTAATAAAGTAGCAAGATTCTTCAATGGGCGTGACCATTTTTTCAATGTTGATTAAACACGAACTATAAGGATTCACAATAGGTAATCAAAAAAAAATTAGGAGAATTTGGAAATTCTCACGAACCGGTGAAAATATTGGGAATTAATCTAGATGAATACTTGGAAACCTCAATGTGAACAATTGATTTCAAAATCGAGTTCAATGAAATATATGTTTGCTAACCTACGTACTGTTTTGGATACGCATCAGCTCTTGAATTTGTATCATAGTTTTGTATTATGCACAAATTGAATCACAGCTAAAATATGGCATTTTTTTTTGGGTAATTCAACTCATGCACGTAATATTTTTACTATTCATAAACGAATTATGAGGTGTATTTTCGAAATTCCGCGGATGGGTTCATGCAAGAATAATATATTCAGATTTCAATATACTGCCAGTTCCTTATTGTTTATATTATATCAATTAACTCAATACATATTAATGTTCATTACTTTATATATATTTGAATTATGTGTATACGTTTTCCAGAACACATATGAATTTCTGCTCAACATGGATGTACACGAACATAATACGAGACATAAAAGTGACATCAGAATAAAAGAGACGGGGCTGGATATTTCTTCATATTCTTCAAATATATTTGGCCCAAAATTGTTTAATACTCTACCAGAACAAAAAAGGTCTTGTACCTAACTCCCTAATACCCTTTAAATGAAAACTTGGAACTATTTGTAGCAGATAAGTCCAGTCAGCTGCTTATGATCTATAAGGCACAGATCCGACCTGTCCTGGAATACTGTTCCCATATTTGGAGTGCAGCACCCAAACATACCCTGAAACTGTTGGATTCCGTCCAAAAAAGAGAGATTCGTCTCGTGGGTGATGCCTCGCTCACAAACTCACTCACTTCTCTGGAACACCGTAGAAAAGTTGGTGATCTGGCTCTATTTTATAGATATTTTCATGGACGATGCTCTTCTGAATCAACAATTGTTCCTCCTTTGACAGTCCCCGCGAGATTAACCCGTCGAGTTGAGGATTCGCATCCCTTCGTGGTCACTTTGGAAACCTGCAGAATATCTTTTTCTAAAGACTCGTTCATCCAACGAACAGCGAGGCTCTGGAACACATTACCAAGGGAGGTGTTCCCCGAGGCATATATATCCTCCAGAAATTTAAGGAGAGCACCAATTCCTACCTTATTTCCCTTGGCTCTCACTATATGTCGTTCTCTGAACATTACAGGATATCCCTTTTCATGGGAACCAGAGCATAAAAAAAATGATACGAATGAATTTTTAATGCTAGATTACGTGTGATAAAAACACTCCTATTGTATTTTTTGATAATAATAACGAATTATTATTTATAATTTCTTATATTTGTACTAACATAAATAGAATATATCCTCCCAGACAGCACCAGATATTCCATGAATCTCCCTATCATATCCCTTTTGGAATATTGGAATATTCTAGAAATAATCTGGAATATTCCGGAATATCTGTGGAATATTCTCTAAATATGCGAATGGGAATTCCTCAGATATTCATAGAATATATCCAAAAAAATATTCCATGTTGAATATTCCTGGAATATTTCAATAAACATATTCTAAAATAAAAAAAAGTGACCCTAGTAGGGATCGAACTTGTGACCTCAAAACTATCAGACCAACGCCTTGACCACTAGGCCAGTAATCGAATTGAATAATGTTGTACATATCAATTTCTTGTGAGAGCGTTGTTCGAAATCGGATCATAAACACTTTTTGTTTCAAAATCCCCTTACATCTAATTTTGATGTTCGATACTCACAACTCTGAAATAATGATGGGTATTTATGTGTTGAGAAACATAGGAATATTCATGGAATATTTTATGAATATACACCACAGAATATTCAGTTGAGAATATTTCATGAATATACCGCACAGAATATTCAGTTGAGAATATTTCATGAATATACCCCACAGAACATTCAGTTGGGAATATTTCATGAATATACAAGAGAATATTCATTTGGGAATATTCCTGGAAAATTCATACCTGAATATTCCCTGAACATCACTTTGGAATATTCCTTCTAGATGTTCCAGAGGCATGTATATATTCTAGGAATAATCGATGAATATTCGGAATATACTCCTCCTTTTGAGCATATTTAGAGAATATTCTAGGAATATCCAGTGCTGTCTGGGGCGCTATTCATGTGAAATGTCAAAAGGATAATAAATGAACTAAAAATATATATATATCATATTGGATTCTTGGAAAATAATGAAATGGGATAAAATAAGACTGTAGGTCCCAATTTTTGCATATTTAGGTATCAAACAAATCAGATTGTTCTTTCTTATGTAATGATTTGCACCAGATTCTCTAAATGCAGACCAGCAGCATGCAGTAAACGAGTAACATATTTTTATTCCAATTTCTCTTCGTATGACACTCATATCACGGTATTCCACTCATTTGATTTTCATCATATTCTATGTGAAAAATCACACACAAGCATCAGCGATCATTCAAATTTTTTATGTATATTTGTAATAATTATTTGTATAATAATTGTAGGCGTTATTTGAAAAAATATACATTATCATCATCATCATTATTATTATTATTATTATTTTTAATATTGTCATTAATATTGTCATCATCACTATCATTATTATTTCAAGTTCATCGATGGAGTCCAGTTGAGGTTCAGAGAAATAGACGGGAAAATCTACGCAGCCACGCCTCTGATCCACCGAGCCGTAACCAGCTACACGCTGGAGAACCTCAAGCCAAACACCAAGTACGAGTTGGGCATCTTCTTCATACCTTTCCCCGGCCAACTGACAGAGCTCCATGCGGAGAAGATGCTGCACTTCACCACAGCCAACGCGATCGACACCTACGGCTTCAACGTGTCTCTTGAGATCTCGCAGGTGAATTTAGAGATTGTTAATTATCGACAATTTTGAGGAAAAATTCACTAAGTACTATCCATAATAGCTTTCAAAAACCGTCAATAGTTATACCATTAAGTTCATATCCCTAACCCTAACAAACAATGAACTGCTGGAAATGTGAGCCTCCCTAATAACACACTTATGTCCCACGGATATCCTTAGGACGTCCTTTCGGGACATTCAGGACGTCTATAGGACGTTTGGTACCGTGGACGTCCATTGGACGTATGTGGGACGCACAAATGTCCCACTTGAGAACCAACTAGGGACGTCCTTGAGAGGCGTCCCTGGGACAACTATCGAATACCTAAATCGTACAGTATTCCTCATCAAGCACTACAGAGGACGTCCTTAGGACATCCATAGGACAACCTATCAGCAACGCTGAGGGATATCAATTGGATGTCCATAGGATGTTCCAGGGACGTACGAATTATTCTTGAATTTGAATTTGTCTGGGTCCGTTTAGGACCAGATCTTGCATAACTGATTAGGACATCCAGTTGAGTTGATGGTCCGTAGAAGGTCCCCAAAAAGTTTCCCAAGGATGTCCAATAGACTCACGTGAAGGACATTGACGAGGAGTACTTATAGCCTACGAGCCTACGAGCAATCATTCGTCGGCGGGGTGTAAGTTAACGTCCTCGCAGGGACAACATTTTGAAAGTACCGACTGTTCCATAGGACGTTATTTCTAGGACAGTTTATGTACCAATTGAGACATCCGACGGACATTCGAAGGACGTCCCTAAGGGACATTTCGATTGTTATACGATCCTGGAAATATTAAGGGCGCCTGTGCAGAGATATTTGAAGGAATGTAGCATCAGGGTCATTTCATGGTTGTCTGGAAGGGACATTATATAAGATATGAAATCATGCCAGTATATGAACTACTCGGGACATCCGATGGATGTCCCTAACGGAACGTTTAAAATCATATCCTATCAGGGACATGCCAAGGACGTCCTTGCATGGGCATTCTACAATATGTACCACGTGGGACGTTTAAGGGATGCCATTTCTAGGACATTTGAAATGATGTACTAGCTGGGACAATCCGTGGACGTCCTTGCTCGGACATTGCATGAGATGTACGGGATGGGACGTCCCAAGGACACTTATTTTTGGTTCTGGACATTGGGACGTGAATTGTACCAAATAGGGACGTCCCTAGGACGTTGTGTGCTATTAGGGCTGTTTCAGTGAACAATTTTATTTCATCATTTGAAGTACTAACAGTAACTGAGCCGCACTGTCACAAATAGTGATTTATAAACCAAGGTAGTAAAGAATATCATCATTACCCATGGACCAAGATTTTATCCCAAGGCTCCAGCCGAGGGTGACGAAATACCTTGGTAGTAGAAACACACTTGACGCCCTCAATAGGTAGGTTATTCAACTAGTGGTGGAAAAACGTTTCTTCGGCAGAGCTCTTTTTTTTAAATAATTATTGAAGTATACACGATATTTCATAACATGAAAAACGCGCGAAAACGCGTGACAAAATCACCCGTGAACAATAATCCAAATGCTATAAGATTCAACTCACGTATCCATTATATATTTCTGTAAGACAAGTGTAAGCATAATTCTGATTGTCATTTTCATCAAAATATGGAATGAATTTTCTGGACTGCATAGGTACTCACTTCAGATAACAGAAAATCAACACAGAACTGAAGAATCGGATAATATGTGAATTATCGTCGAATAATCGCAGTATTTGTTATGATGGGTTTTGAAGATGAAGATGACAGACTAAGATGGCGTTATTAAGTTAGGTTAGAATTCTTTCCTTTTCCTGATATTCCTTTGAACTGCAAGCATTACGCTGTTGCCCGAGCCACAAAATACTTTGGGTTTGAATAAAATCCCGATCATTATTAGGAATATTAGGATATTCTTATTGGCACTGCAATAAGTGATAATTAAGGACCACGTTTTTTTCAGGAGCCGTTTTAATTTTTTGAAAAAATATTCGTGATAATTTTAAATAACGAATGATTGCATCAAATACTTTCAATACTCAGAATGATCATATGAAATAGGTATGTGGCATAAATTCAACTGATGTGTGTGTGTCCCAATGCCCTTTTCATTCCTGGAGGAATTACTTCGACGGCAGAAATCTATTGGGCTTTCATATTCTTGTCATCACTTTGCCAGCAAAGCAAATTAATTTTGGGATTCCATCCTTCAAGTGACTTTCATGTTCCGGGAAAGACAAGATCTTTCACCACTCAATCTTCCTATAGGCTAACGGCATTCAATCATAGATGTATATCCTATATATTATCATCGAAGATTCTCCCGTACGGAAGAAAGTATGATGATGAAGAATAATCCTGGATACTCATATTAGCATCACTAATATTTTTTTCATAGTGACAAGGAGAGAAAACCACAAAAATTCAGAAAAAATGTATATTTTTCATATTTCGACCGTGCAACATTAATGAAACACCCTGTCGATAATAGCTATGCGAGTAACTGGCACTGGTCTATCGAATGGTGAAAACATGAGAAGATTCGGCCAAATGCTCTCGATGAAAGAGGAAGATGTCAGTTTTGTGATTTTCTTCTTTTTCTACAGTCGAGTTTTCTTCACCTCATAAAAACAACGCCCCTGATGTAAAATCTTGATTTCTTGATAGATTCAAATGAACTTTTATGTTTAGTTGGTATTTGGAATGTGAATTGCGTAACTTGATTACTATAATACGACCATGCTGTTCTATGTCCTCAGAATTCAAGAAGTATAGGTAGATTGGTACCTCGATCTTAGCAGGCCTTTTTCGAGTATAAAACCACATTTTAATTGGTTTCATGAAAATCTGAAAATTTTTGGGAAAATCTCCATCGATAAACAGGTTTTTGAAATAAAAAAAACTAAAATCAATAAATTGATGGTCAAGAAGAGAAGAAAGAGAGAAGGAATTATAATAAATTTTTTTTTCAAAAAAACCGCTCATTCCAAATAATATGTCTAAAAGTATGCTTGGTATCAGGAAAAAAATTATTAGATGACGTACCAAATTACTTCGTTTCCCAGATATGTAGGAATATGGATATTTGACTTGAAATAAACCTTCATATCATTTCAATTTCATGACCTGCTCTTTCCAGATTTTTTTCATTGTTTTTCCTTCTATTAAAATAGTTTTCATTACGATAACACAAAAGGGCAGGACGAAATTCTTACAGTTTACTCCACCAAAACTATACTTTATTGTAATCAAATCACGAGACATATTTCGAAGCTTCAAAGCTTCGTCATCAGCGAGGCTCTGGAACACATTGCCAAATGAGGTATTTCCCGAGGTATATAACCTCCAGAAATTTAAGAAGAACACCAATTCCTACCTCATTTCCCTTGGTTCTCACGATATTCTCTGAACATTACAGGATATTCCTTTTCGTGGGAACCAGAACATAAAAAAAATACAAGCACTAAAGTAAGAGAAAAATAGAGAGAAATGTCAGACCAAGACTTCAACAACGACAGTTCAAGAAGACTCACCTATTCTGGAGGAAATCATTTACGTATAAACAAAGATGGGAGGAATACATTATGTTCACATATTATAACAAAAAATCAAAACATTTTTACAAATACATAGTTGAAAAAATAAAATAGAGGGACCGCTATTATTGGGAATCACCTATGAGATGCGATGTCAAACATCATTATGGTCTCTTTTCTTGTCTGTTGTTAACCTTCGGTATTATCAACAAGAACTATAAAAGATGGTCGTTCAATTTTAAATTTGATTCTTACTATTGCATCCGTTTAACAATCCAGTCCCCTGACATAGGTGATCCACCAATAACTGCGGTGACTCTATTTTATTATTTTAACTGAGTCGTATTTGTATTACTATTTGAATTTTTTTTGTAATATGTGAACATAATGTATTCCTCCAGAACAGGTAAGTATTTTTGAACTGTCGTTGTTGAAGTGTTTGTCTGACATTTCTCTCTATTTTTTTCTTACTCTAGTGCTCCTATGTAACTAAAAGCTGATGATGAAGATTTGAAGCTTCGAAACATGTCTCTTAATTTGATTACAATAATGTAGAGTTTTGGTGGAGTAGACTGTAAGAATTTCGTCTTGTCCTATTGTCTTCACTCCACTGTAAGATGGATCGCCTCAGATGGTCGATAAAACAAAATTCGATGTCAAAAGTCAATAATAATAATGTCTAATAACATCTCAAATCAACGATGATGTATTCATTATTGCTGGTTTTGTTTCGGGGTATCGAAATAACTATCGATAAACATTACTTTCGATGCTATCAACAATTTGTTACTTCTAGGTGAAATCGCAGAGCGTGGAGATATCTTGGAACGGGGTGCCCTACCCCGAAGACAAGTACGTCAATATCTACAGGGCGATTTACCAGAGTGACTCGGGCAAGGAGGACCAGAGCATGTTCAAGATCGCCAAGCGGGATTCCACGACCAAGACCGTCATCATGGACCTCAAGCCTGGCACCAGGTACCGATTGTGGTTGGAGGTGTATCTGACGAATGGAAAGATCAAGACGAGTAATGTCCAAGAGTTCATTACTAAGCCAAGGGTGTCGCCGGCGTTAGGGTCTACGTCACAAGGTGAGGACAACCTTCCTATAGGCTCATACAGGAGACATATTTTTTTACCAGGTTTTGTACATTTCATAGATGAAAACCCGAAGTCATCTCAACAACATTTATTAGAATGATCAAAGATCAATCGTAAAGGGTCATGATTCCGGCTTATATAAGCCCATCATCAGCCAAAGTATCATAGCTCTAGAGAAATCGGTATTGACTTAGATATAGATGCAAAAATTACTTAGTACTCATACATGAAAATTAAAAAAGTAGCAGGGAATATGCTCCATGATCTGAAAAACAATTGATTCAGAAATATTAAGGGACAAGGTGAAAGAATATGTCACTGTAAAATGATATAAATTTATTATGTTATGAATTTATTATGTTATAATTTTTTTTAATTGACTCGGCCGTTACTTGATGGAAATCCATAGTAAATATGAAAAACTTCCTAATAACACGACATGTTTTGCTAACACAGTAGCTTCTTCATGTGAAATACTCGTACATTAAACTAAACTTTCATTGACTTGCCTGACTTTTATATTCTACTTTCCCTAAAGGATTGCAAATGCCTGTGGAAAAGTTTGTTAGACCTTCATTTTTGAAAAATATCGGCACAATATCTACATTAAAATTCGGTGTACCGGTTTGACTTGAAAACGTTGATAGCAACTATATTATTACCTACTAATCAAACAAGTTCAACAGCAGTGATTTTTGCGTTTGTTGAATTCTAATGTCTCCAAACGAATTGAGTTCCATTCCATCATTTTCTACGTGTAAAATTTCGATATTATCATCAGAACTATATGGTTTTCCCCAAACACTTATGAGGTTCGCGTATCGCGTATGTTGAATTTGTTTCCTTTTTCAAAAACTGCATCTTATGTTTATGAAAGCGGTGATTAAACGTTCGACCTGTGTTCAAGTAAATCTTCATTATTGGCATGGGTTAAATTGTAAAGAACCATTTATTTACGTATGGATATTTATTCGCGCTACGAAAACACCTCACTTCAATTGTCGCGCATGCCTGTGCGCAGCATGTCAAAAAACCTGCCTAATACATTTTGCTACCATCGTGCTTTTCATCGTTATAACCGCTTACAAGTGTATCATCCCCCGGGGATTTTCAATAAGCAATTTGCTAGAAAACCACCTGCTTCAGCTTCAATCATCATATTTCTGCCTTACATCATATCCTGACCAGCAACACCGCAGCCGGCCGGCTATATTACCCCATACCTGGATCTTATACACCACATGGAATCATCAAGTGAGTGCAGTTGCTTTCTCTTACCAAACAACCTAATTTTATATGGTCTATGCGATTTGAAACCTGCCTAAAAAAGTATAGTCCACTCAAATATCGAACAACCTGTCTGACCGATATCGATACCCTAGGAATTCAGAAGTTTTGTCACTTACACGACAGCTTTTTGTGTCAACAGTAAAATCACAAGAGCTTTTTTTCCTTGGATACATTTCACTTCCTAGGAAAAAATATGGGTCGAGCAATTTTGTCTTATGTCAGTTTTTCCAGAGAAATTACTGATGAAATATCTTTGAGTAATTAAGGAAATTTATCCAATTCGAAAAAAGTTTAGTTTATTGTACGAGTATTTCATCTGAAGAAACAACTGTGTTAGCGAAACATATGTCGTGTGATTAAGAATTTTGTAGAAAGGACCCCGCATAAAACCATAGGGAATTGGCCCACAGTGGGATTTGCCTGAAATTCACATATGTTATTGGTATGGAGTTTCTGATCAAATGTTTTCATGTGACCAATCTTCTAAGACCAAAGATTTAGCTCTCAGGGCCGTATATTTAGTATAGGTGCCAATTAAACAATGGCACTTTTTTTTTCAAGCCCATGATTTTTGTATCTCCCATAATAATTCAATTGAATGAGAAATGTTGCGAAATCTTGGCATTTGTCTTTTAGCGCAAGTACTCGGTAAAACATGCCTTGTCCTACAGGACCGTATTTAGTAAAACTGTATTTGCCAAAGTGCCGAATCGAATTGATTTTGTAATTACTTTCTTATTTCTTGTCCTATTTCAGTGGTATTTGCAGTTGCAAATCAAGGGAAAGGACACTAGGAACATGTGCTCTTATTTGTAGCATATTGTGGTATTTAGGATTTGCCCGCTATAATCAAAATGTGAATTATCCATCGACTTCTGTGTTACGGGCATATTAAAGATGCCGCAAATCGTCCAGTGCAAGATGCAATACTCCAGCAGCTGTAAGTGTTCGGGAATTATGTTGATAGTGAGTGCTCGACTTTTTTGTTCACCACCCTGTAAATATCGGTTTCAACTTTGTTAGTAATGAATTAGATGAAGTTTCAATTAGATAGTGGAGTTATATTTATATTATAGAGTTAGGTAATTGAAAAAGTAAATGACCGATTTCAACAATCAAAACGTGTTCTTATCTTTTCCTGTTACTATCATTCCTGAAAAGCTACGAGATATGTCCTACATAAAGATTAAATGTTAGGCCGACCATCTTGAATATTGAGATGGTGACCACTTTTGTTATGTACACGAAGAAATCTACATTCATCTATCAAACGACCACTGAAATAGGACAAGAAATAAGAAAGTAATAACAAAATCAATTCGATTCGGCAAATATAGTTTTACTAAATACGGTCCTGTAGGACAAGGCATGTTTCACAAAGGACTTGTGCTGAAAGACAAATGCCAAGATTTTGCAACATTTCTCATTCAATTAAATTATAATGGGGGATACAAAAATCATGGGCTTGAAAATATACTAAATATGGCCCTGAGAGCTAAATCTTTGGTCTTAGATGAAAACATTTGATCAGAAACTCCATACCAATAACATATGTGAATTTCAGGCAAATTCCACTGTGGGCCAATTCCCTATGGTTTTGTGCGGGGTCCTTTGATCATTTGTTGAGTTTTTCACATTTGTACCTACATTTTGGTCTTTCCGAAATCAGTTGGAGCGGTTTCGGCAAGGTATGTGTCTGCCAAGCTACAATTGACTTCCAAATGGTGTATATTTAGATCTATGACTATACTATACGTTTCCAGATGAAGCGATTTTTTGACAAAAAATCATTTGCATGATTCATAAATAATAAGAAAATTGCACCAGAAATAGACTAGGTTGAGATATATACCCTATAATAGGTACAGTCGTCTTCAGAAAACATGTCGCACATGGACGATGATCGCAGTCTTGATAACTCCTGCAATAAGATCGCTGACACCGTCCAACCGCGACATGATCTCTGAAGACAACTGTACGTACTATATACAATACATTATGTATTTATAGTTGATTCGAGGAATATAAATAATTGAACTAAATAATAGACTATCACTATATACCCGGAAAAGTGCAATTCAAACCAATAAAACAGAAAGTTTACCTTCCGGCATGATGATTAGATTTCTTGCCACTGGGTCATCAGACTCATTAGCCATTGTATGCTGATATTACATGTACCTATCATCATTTATATTTGAATAAGAACAATACCTTTCTTGGAAAGTCCTGACTGAGTAGTTGTCGAACTTAAATATCGACCAAATGTTCCTTAAATACTTTCATTCAAAATTTCAACTCCATTTCGAAGGCAATCTGATTTTTCTTTAAATCGTTACCATGATAACTGGAAAAATCTGTAGTATGTACAGATCAGATTTCACAAACTAATACATATGACCTAACTGTAGTAGTCTATAGTCCATGTCGGACGCACTGTATACATACGCTAATGCAGGGTGTCCCGAAAAGACCACGTCAAACCTAGGGAAAATGTAGATAAAAGGATTACCCACCTGCATAATAATATGACAAAATTCCCATTATAAAAGTCTTACAGGTCTCGAGTTTTTTTTCTTTTTTGAAAATATCCACTACCAAAGTTTTCAATAAAAATATTTTTCACGGCCCCCTTCAAAATGTTCGGAGAATGTTTTCAACGTATACGTTAAAATCATCCTTCAGCAATATTGACTGAGAAAATGAACCAAAAAGGTGTGAAATTGCACCAACCGTACAGACAAAACTATTGAAAGATGCAAAAATTCAATATTTTCCAAAAAAAATCTCGAAAACGATAAGACTTTTATAATGGGAATTTTGTCATAGCAGGTTGGTTATCTTCTGATTTACATTCTCCCTAGGTTTGACGTGGTCTTTACGGGACACCCTGTATGTAATATATTTTTGAATTCAGCTATCCATCGAGATTCCAAAAATTAGTGTGTTCTGTTTGGAATATCTGTCGCCGACGTCATAACTCAAACATAGATCACACTGTATATTTAATTGACGTGTTCTAAGATTTGTCTCCAAAGTCTCCTATTCTCTAAACCGAGAATTTATTCCATAATTTCGCCACTCGCACATTAATTTCATCCTAGAAAGTATATTTTTTTGTATTCTAGATAAGCTTTCAAGGGCTCAGCACTTGGAAACCAAAGGCGACTACTACGGCCCTCTAGTCATTGTAGCAATATTGGCAGCCATTGCCATTTTGAGCACTCTCGTTCTGTTGCTCATCCTCATTAGGCGACACAACCAAAACAAAGCTGCCATAACTCCCCCCACAAGGATCAGCCAGTCTGCTTACGATAATCCAACTTATAAAGTGGAAATTCAACAAGAAACTATGGGTAAGTTTAGCGAGTACCTAGCCTAGAACACCTAATAACTGGTACTCGGACGATGAGAATAATAGTGGGACAACTAAAAACAAGTTGATTATTGAGTTAAAACCACAGGTTAGAACCACCGTCGGATAAAAAATTTTGAGATCTACACTATTTCATTGCTATAGTATCGTGACATCTCTATGAAGATCCAATAGCTTCTGCGTGACAACGCTGGTCATGATTTTACAATAGAGGAAGAGTAGCCCAAGTAGCACGCATAGGTTATAATTGGATTGTCCAGACATCTACAAGACCATGTTCAAAAGTCAGAGACTCACGTCTTGTACTATGCTCTAACGTTGGTATGTATGGTAATACCTATGGCGTAACTAGCATAAGCCAAGTAAGCGCAATGCGTTGGGGCACCCAAGCTTGGGGGGCCCATTCGTTCGGTTACTCATTCTCTATTCCCAAAAAAGCAAAACTTAATTGAGCGAATATTTGAAGCAGTTCCGAATCTTGTGGTTTTTTTCTCAAATATGAACCTAAGGACACTTATTGGTGAAGCGAACATTACTTGTAATTATGTTCTGCATTAGTTCTGGTTGCGACTCACGACGTTGAGCGTCAGCGTCACAACATCATTCGACATTCGCCGATTAGGTAGAAGATAGTAAATGTAAACTAATCAAAAGCTATAAAAGGAATCAAATAGTGCAAGAGCAATTGTAATCTTTGATTTCTTTCGAAAGTGTACCTGCCCAAAATTAAACCTCAACTTTCCTTGACTATATTAATTAATGAATTTGCAATGTGTATAAAGCGAGAAAAAAATCAGCGTTCAATAAACTAGTTCAAACTCAAAGTTATTCATGGTTTTGTTTTTCTTTGATGAAAACAAACCACGTTGAGATTCATTTTGAACTCAGGAGATTTAAATAAGTTGTTTTCAAGATTTGCTTTTATTTGATGCGAAGAAATATTTTGTCATGTTATATGTAAATTAGAATGCATGAAAAAAATTGGAGCTCCTTTTATATTCATTTACTATTCGTGATTTGAGAGTAAAAGGAGGGCCTCCTTATATATTTTGCGTTGGAGCCAAGAAATTCTAGTTACGCCACTGGGCATACGATAAAAAGGCGCACTTTTGCAACGTCACATCGACGTTATAATGTGGTCGTAATGACTTGTTAATAAAGACTTACATATGCCAGTCGCAGAAGAGTTATATCTGAATATTACGAGTACGTTGTTGTGTAGTCATTTGTTGTCATTATATTATCATTATGCATGAAGGTCATGAGCTGAACATCTAATGTATTTACAATACGTTTGATAACAATAAGATATTGTTTTCATAATATATAATTCAGTTTTCTTTCCATAAGCTACTTTCTGCAAATTACTGCTATATGATGATAGTCACTATATATATATGGAGATGAAATTGAATATTATTCTTGACTGAAAATTGTTAATAAGAGGGACCATAGAGTGACTGAACAATCCCATTTTGGCGAACAGAACTCAATTCTACTCACTTATTATTATTTCATAAATTTTTGATCGACAAAATAATGTGACAATCATAGGTGATCTACTTCATTTGTCTATCTCAATTGTATTCCAAGAAGATATAACGCCCATAGTAGTGAATTTTTCATTCACAATTTTTTTTTTGCAAAATGGCTGCTGAAATTCTATACATGGATGCCATCCTTTGTGTATCGAAGAGTTGTAATTACTCCGCATGATTTGCGAATGTCTTGAAGACATCCCAATAAGTTAAATAAAGGAGTCGGAATATTGTCGCTCTGACCTCTGTAATAGTCACGTTATGAGTAATAAGTATCAATTTGACACAAAGGGCACACTGTTTTACTTGTTATAAATTTGTGATCACTTCTTTATCTTTTTTGATCTAATTACCTTCATTATTTGGCAGGTTTGTGAGGAGTATAAGCAGCGAGACCAATTCTGTATATAAGAAACATTAAAACTTGAATATATATTTTTTATATAAGTACCTTATGTGTTAACTTGTAAGTATAGTTATAAATAGATGATAGAATTTAGCATTGTACCATATCGACAATAAATTATATATTTATTTTGTGTTTAAAATTGTCTTTCTCTATATTTTTGAATACGCTAATTGACGGACATATTAATTATTCATCATTTTCAATTTAATAATGGAATTAAAATTTATACACAAGGTAGTGAAGAATATTATTCTTCTGTAGTAGTCCATACTCAAAGTGGAGTGGAATGATCAAGAGAGAAAAACTCAAAGTCGTCTCCTCAATTTTTAATGTATAATAAGGCAATCAATCCTGCTTCAATAAGGTTAAAAGTTGATACATGTTTCGGCCATTCAAATGGCCAACTTCAGTCAAAATAGCAAAGTGTATGTGGAAATCACTTCAAAGCATCATGAAGGCGAAAAAATTATTACTAGAACATCATTTATTATTATTTATTGGAAATAGAGTTAAGTACGAGGAATTGGGAGGAAGGCAAAAAGCCCAATCCTCCAAGAGGAAAGTTAAATTCTTCATGATACGCAGAGCTTCTTCAGCGTCCCATGAAGAATTTAACTTTCCTCTTGGAGGATTGGGCTTTTTGCCTTCCTCCCAATTCCTCCTACTTAACTCTATTTCCAATAAATAATAATAAATGATGTTCTAGTAATAATTTTTTCGCCTTCATGATGCTTTGAAGTGATTTCCACATACACTTTGCTATTTTGACTGAAGTTGGCCATTTGAATGGCCGAAACATGTATCAACTTTCAACCTTATTGAAGCAGGATTGATTGCCTTATTATACATTAAAAATTGTGGAGACGACTTTGAGTTTTTCTCTCTTGAAGAATATTATTATTACCCAGGGATCAAGATTATATACCGAGGCTTCAGCCGAGGGGTATAAGGTCCCGTGGAGATAATATTCTTTTTCACTGGCCTCAACAAAAATGACATTTTTCTGCAACCGACACAAATGTCGTCCATTTCAATACCAAAATTACCTCTTGAATTGATGTTCCTATTACTATTGTCACTATATGAAAGCACTTCTTCTCAATTCTAATTAAAATCTACTATACATGACCATGACAGCATATGACAAATCGTTATTGATGAACACCTACTAGATTCGAGTGATAGTGGTTCATAAAATGACGAAAACTACTTTGGTAGTGAAAACACACTTTACGCCTCGAAAAGGGGTACATAATGGTAGGTTTTATAGCTAGTGGTGGCAAAAAATATTTATTATAGGTGAAAGTAACGATAGCTATTGAGAAAAAAAGAACTACAAGGAACTGTTTGGGCCAATTTTGTTCTCCTTGATGTATACATATAGATAACTAAACGTACCCAAAAATCGAATGGGAAGATCTACAGCTTTGCTGACGATACAGATATATATCCTTTATTACTCCTCTGGTTGATATATGAATCCATGAAGAAAAATTGAACAAGATTTAAAAAACATATTCTACCAGTTCAGTCATCGGGTATATATACCTAGTCAATTTGGAAAAACCCACCTACTCCCGTTTTGTTTCGATAGCATTCAGCAATTTCGATATAATTCGATTTCAAAAGTTTGATGTGCGTAATAAATATACTTAGTACAGTCACATTCAATAAAAAAGCGTACATGTATTGAAAACAGAGGATTTCGGGATCCTTATAGTTCTAGTTGTGTTAAACTGGCTCAGCCAATGCTTTGTGTTTTCGAGAACCTATGACAACTTTACTGTCAACATTTGGTGAACAATCATTCCCGATAGCCCGTTTTATGCAGAATAGGATGACGTTAATTTCTCTCTGTAATATACTTGTACGCTTTTTTTTAATGCGACTGTACTTCTTCTTGATAGGGTATACATACCATATTATTTAATAATTCATTGTTTTTATTGCACCCTCCAGATTTTGAATCGAACATCAAGAGTAGATGTTGAAAGAAAGAGTATTTTCCATCAAACCATAATTTTTGGGATTTATCTCGAACACGGTGAATGCTATCGAAACTTCACAAGAGTACCATTTTTAGGTAAAAATGTTGAGAGTTTCATATTTACCACAGAACTCAAAGACCTTGCGTTCTGTGATATTCACTGGTCAATCTTCCGAAAGTTGCATGAATAAAACAGCTACAAGCTACAAGTTGGGCATAAAAAGTATATGTACAAATTTTGGTTATTCTATCACAGAGGGTTTCGAATATATTTTCAAAAAAACATCATCTCAGGTTTGCCTTCAGATGGCTATAACCCCCAGGGGGAACTTTCTGTGGACCGATATTTACATGACAGTTTTATACTTTTTTTGTCTCTAGAATCGGTGGCCAAGATATCTCAATGTAATTTCGGGACACCCTGTATATGCGTCAAAGTTGTAACAGAACTGAGTGAATCATTACTTTGGAATTCTTGGAAAGGGTTCATTAGTAGTGTACCTACGTACGCATGGGACCACACATAGGGAAATCAATGTGTTAGACAAAGAGCATGGGCTAGCTAGTGAATCCGACAGAGATAGCGATATGGTTGGCTATAGCTATTGACGTCTAACCTAACCTATCTCCGTTTGAGTTCACGTCAGCATCTTACATATGACAGGGGTCAAAAATAATAGGTGCTACAGTACCTTCGACCAAGACCTTCAATTGTGACTTTTTGTCGTGACCTTTGACCGTTAAATTTGACATTTAAGCATGACCTTCAATCGTGACCTTAGACGTTCGACCGAGACCTCTAATTATGACCCTTTAATCGTGACCTTTAATCGTGACCTTTGATCGTGACCTTTAATCGTAACCTTTGACCATTGCCTTCGACCTCTGAGCGTGACCTCTAATCGTGACCTTGGTCTGTGACCTCTGGTCTACCTTCGACCTTAGACCTTCGTCCGAGACCTTCGATCGAAACCTTCGATTGTGCAAGCAGCAATTCTCCGAGTATGCCATCCTGATATCGAAATAAACCACACATTTCCAGCTAAAGGCACGCGCGGAAACTTTAATCAGTTGCCTACCTAGAACAGTGTTGTCAGACGTTGCAGAATGATCGATATTCCACTGAAATATACACGTTCCGATGCACAACTCTTTTCAGCCATTCAGCTATTTCAATTGAAAAAGGATACACGGATCTGAGATTGAACATCTATAGTAGAACGTTGACGTACACTCGTCTTCAACGATCATGTCGCGGTTGGACGGTATGAGCGCTCTTATTGCAGCGGTGATCAAGGGAGCTGACACCGTCCATGTGCGACATGATCTCTGAAGACGACTGTACGTAACATATAGAGTTGGTATAAGGAAAAAAAAATTAGTCGAAAAATATATACAGGGTGGAGAAGGGAAACAGGTGAAAAACCTCAAGTGGAATTGTAGTTAAGGAACATCTGATATGTATGAGACATCTCCAGAACAGACTTTGACGTATACCATATACAGGGATATCTGAATAAAGTATGACCTGCGACAAATCAAATAGAGTTATCGACAAAATATGTATCCTCAATTTCATTTTATATTCCTAATAACATCGACAAGGACATGCTTTGGGGAATGGGGTGAACCATAGAACAACAACGTCATTCTCTTTCATCAACATGATCGTTAGGGTACTCTGAAAGCAGTTTCCATCAAAGTCTGCGAGATATCGACAAAAATGAGAGAATTAATCGAAACAACTCAAGGAAAGATAACTTGTAGAATTGATTGGAATTCACGTGTGTTCACTCGATGGAAGAAAGAAGTGTAAGTGACATGAGAGTAAAAATATCAAAAAACGTGACTTTCAAAATAATCATCGAACTACTGGTATGACTCTGCATTTACAGCAACAAAAATTCAATTAACACATAACATGACTGGAGTATAATGGGTGGATCAAAATTAACTCGATAAATGACATTTCTGGCACCCTAATACATAGGATAAATCAGTTTTGTTGAAAATTATATACAGGCAGTAATAACAGGAAAACAGTGTGTGAACAATACAGAAGAATAAACATTACAATGTCCCGAAAGTGTAGACTATTCACGTAATGTACACGGTCTAACAGAATCCACATGACAGATAGTAGTTGAATATACGTATCGATATATAAGAAACAAATCGTTTCTGATATTACATTCGATACAATTCGTGAATGAGGATGTATACAGGGCCTTTCGAAAAATCATCAACAACCCAGAAAAATCATTGAATCACGTTACTACACAGAAAAAAAAAACAGTATGTGTCTGACCTAGCATCCAGGAACAATAAACAAAACTTGGGGGGAATAAAGAGAATTGCATTGAACTCGATGAAAAACAACCTCGATTTGACACCTGCTTTATAGTCAGTTGATATACGAGGTAGAATCAAATGAACCAAGCCGAGGATGATCGAAGTAGATCGAAGATCAACGAAGTGAATCAGTGTTTGTTGCTCACCCGAAAAATGATAGGCATATTGGTTGCACGAAAGAGTGCGTCAGTCGAAGAGACATGTATATCATACCCAAAAATGATAGGCATACCTCGATTTGACACCTGCTTCATAGTCAGTTGATATACGAGGTAGAATCAAATGAACTAAGCCGAGGATGATCGAAGTAGATCAAAGATCAACGAAGTGAACCAGTGTTTGTTGCTCACCCGAAAAATGATAGGCATATTGGTTGCACGAAAGAGTGCGTCAGTCGAAGAGACATGTATATCATACCCAAGTGAGTCAAGAGCGAATATATCAACAAAATGCTAGATGAAATAAGAACACATTTCCACTTATGAATGTACTCGAAGGGAGTCAGAAAGACATGATCATGATAAGATTTAAATAATGTGTGTGAGCAAATATAATCAAACTAACTATTACAAAATATGTCATTCAGTTCTGTCATTCCAATTTCCGTTTCTATACTGATACATCTGTCTGTGGAGGAATTGCTGTATTCAACCTAATCTAGCTGTCATTCAAATTCCATGTATATGGAGTCAGCTGTCACTGATTTCCAGAAATCTGCTACGCAATGTATAAGAACAATGCCTCCTCTGTTCCGAGAGATTGCGTTATCGTTATCTTGTAATAATATCTACTTCCAGT